CTCCCTACCCCTCCCTCCCCCCTCCCTTCCTCTCTCTCTCAAAAATTACAGAAACTTGTGCCGGATACAAAATACCGCGTAAATAGTTATTCGAAGGAACAAAAGCTAATCGTGATTCCTATCCCATCGTGATATCCTATCATGTAAAGAAAAAGAAATGCGACTTCTGTCCCGTTTGGATGATCCTCATTCGATCGATATCATCACAATTTGCATGTCCCTCGGCAAACAACACAGGAGCGCTTCTCATCTGAAACGCGATACAAATCCACAACAAATTCGCATGCGACCATAGGTAAGTATCGGTCAATCAAGTACCATTGTGTGTCACCGGTGTGTCCACAAGTATCTACGAAAGTTAAAAGGAAAGACTTAGTATCGATTTGCGGAAAAATCGAGAGAAGCACATACGAAGAAGTACATATATGACGCATGCCACATGAAAGAAACATTCTTTGAAACGCGCGCTGTAATGCTATATATGTATTATAACGCGTCAAAGTACATTTCACGTGCGCGACATGAAACAGATGATAAAGGGAAAATTTTTTCCGATAAAAAAAAAAGCCGAATCAGAGCATCACGCAACATATAAAAAAATTCATCGTTACACGGCCATACGCGCAGCACAAGAATTTCTATTAAATTTATTGACACACGCTACCTCACGCTACCTTACGCATATTTCAAGATCTTCGTAGATGATCTTCGTAGATGTTCTTTGAAAACATAAAATTCTTATTATTTTTCAATTTTATATTAAATATAATATAAAAAAATAATTAGAAACAATAATAAAATTTATATATTGAATACAAAATTTATATATAAGATTTATATATCTAATCTAAAATTATATAAAATATCGTATATTAAATACACATAAAAATTATAAATTTATATACATATTAAATTATATACATATTTAATATATAAATTTCTTATTATTTTTAAATGTCACTTTTTACTTCGATATGAATAAATGCTTCAAAAATTTAATTATTACAAAAGACACATAAATAACGAAATTGAGAACTATTTTTCATTTCCTGAAAAATGAAAATATGCAGAATACATTTTAAGAATTGTGGATTCGAGAAATTGGAAACTTTTCAGAATGATTTCCAAACTTTATTTTTTCATTTTCTCTTTAAAGAACTTGACTTTCTCAATGATAATACTAATTCAAATGCAATGTTATATTGCAAAGAATTTAACGAGATCATAATATGCATTACTTTTTATATTTTTACTTTGTTCCATGAATATTTCTTTTCTCTTATTCGTTTGTTTTGATAAATGGAGAATCTTCGTGTATCTCCATTACTCGAATGAGCATGTTTCGCAACAAGTAACGCACTTACTGATTGGATCACGTTGTTGCCTCTGGAGACAAACAGTGTATTACGGATAAGATATTCTATATGAAACCTATAAAAAGATCTCGCATTTCCACGAAAAAAGAAATTCTTAATTTTCAACTTACAAAATCTATTATATAAGTGAAAGTAAAAATTATATGATCCATAATGATCTCTTTTTTCTACAAACATAACTGACATAACAAAATAAAATAAATGACATTTTAATAAGCGCACAATTCTTTTACTGTTTGGTAACAGTTTGCGATAGAGAAATTTTAAAAAATCTTATTTTGTATAATTAATCAATTATAATTTCAAATATAATTCTTCTAATTATTACTTCTTTCTAATTATTAATTCTTATAATTATTAAATAACTATACCAATTGTGTTGTTAAAAATATTTCATGTTTTTGTTTCGTAAATAAATAAATTAATTATTGAGATCTGCATTCATTAAATCGGAATCTAATGTAGGATAATATTACAATAAAATTGTAAATATTTTTAATCTATATCTAATAATAAATAGAAAATTATGTGTAATAAAATATAAATAAAAAGGATAAAAATTTCTTCTCTTATTTATTACTAACATCAGCTACGATAAATAAAAATTAAATGAATGAATTAAAAATTAAAAGAACATGAATCTTTATTGTTAATTATTCAGAAAACCGTCGCGAATCATTAACGGTTCTCCACAATATGGTCTTTGCTGAAACAAAGGCGAGAATCGTGTTCCTATTAAACGAAAAAAAAAAGAGGGATAAGAAAAGGTCGCCGGAACAGGAAGGATCAGAACAGAGAGTTTCATCCCCATTCCAATGTTCATGAGCCTTTAACTTTCACAAAAGCACATATATCTTGTCATTCCGATCTATGTGTTGCCCATGTGTTAAAAGGCCCTTCTATCTTCCCTTTCAGAAAATGAGAATCCAGGACAAAAGATAAAAAGGAAAAAGAGCGTACGCAGGGCAGTTTACTCAAAGCATGCGTAAAGGCGAGAGATAATAAGAAAAATGGTTAGAAACCAACGTGCGGAAATCAGCACAAATAGAGAAACATCTTTGAACATAAACAGAAAATGATTTATTTTATGAGAAACGGATTGCCAAACTGATTATTGTGACTCTAAGGAAAATAATTGATTGTTATATCACACAATAAGACTCTCGAAATAGAGACATGTCATTACTAGATCTGAATTATTATCTATATAGAAATCTCCATAAATTATCTCCATAAATAGTACAGAAATAGCGAGTCATAAGTAACATATATAATATATATATCGACATAATAAACAGGATAATCATGTACATAATACATTATTTAAATAATTTCAAAAAACAAAGCATAAGAATGACAATTTATTCCACACATGTATTCATAATAAATATTTTAATAAGAGACAACGACTCAAAAGTTTAATAAATTAATTTGGAACTTATGTATTTTATATACAGTATCTACTTTTTAAACACAATAAATAATTAAACAAAAACTTAGTATATTTATTCATAAAAAATTTGCTGATTATAAATTTTATATTTTGCTTCATTATCGAAGAAATTCAAAAGAATACCATCCTTATCAATTTATTCAAATATATTTTATATAAAAAGAAACTTATAAATTATGAGTTTGCGCAATTTTTTGAAATCTGCATATCATATTTGAAATAATTCTTAAAAAATTCTGCAAAGCATTTTCAATGAATCAATGAATTATTTTAAAATCATTCAATGTATATCAATGAATTATTTTAAAATCAATCCATTTTAGTATAGATTAACTTCAATAAATACTTCAAGTTAATTAAGTAGATTATATCGATATCAAAACTTCTTCTCTATCATTATTTAATGTCCGCTTTCGTATTAGCTGTTAGCGATGTCGAGAAGTTTGACAAGTTTATACGAGACTTGTCAAGAAAGATGCAAGTGCATCTTTCTAGATTGACAAAACGACCGTGCAATAAATGACGTCCGTAAATTTCTTGTCGAACTATCATTTTCACGATGACAGAATAACAAGAAATAAACAGAAATAAGAAATAAACTAATTTTAAATATATTCTAAACGCTTTATACCCGACGTTTTATGAATAATTTTTTAAACAAACAATGGTGAATAGTTTTGGGTAAATAGTTATATTTTATATTATGAAGAAACTTTAATTATGTGTAAAAAGAAAAAAGATAATAAAATTACGGGAAAAAATTCAGATTTTAGTTTTAATAATTTTTTTCTTAATTTTATTGACGATGTGCGAAATAAAAAGATACATATATCTATAATATGTGTGTGTGTGTGTGTGTGTGTGTGTGTGTGTGTGTGTGTGTGTGTGTGCGTGCGTGCGTGCGTGTGTGTGTGAAATACGTAATTTATATATTTAAATATATATAAAATATTAAAAAATTCCATTTTAGATATATGTTTTTTTTTTAATATTTCGAAGTTATTTTTGCATCTCTCTTTCTCTGGTTTAACTCCGAACGTTCTTTCATAGTCTTATACTTAAATCTACATGTCGACAACAATGGAATGTTAGAAATTAATAGAAATCGTTGACAAAGTATACTGCCCCTCAGTAGGCACTAAAAGCACGATCTGGTAACGCACTAAGTGCGAAATACGGTACAACGCGGTAAATATAACGTCGATGTGATATAGATACAACATATAAGAGAGAGGGGGGATGGGGGAAGGAGGGGGAGAGAGAGAGAGAGAGAGAGAGAGAGAGAGAGAGAGACGTAGGGAGAGAAATGTCTAGACTTCCAACCAGTTCGGTATAGAGTTAATCAGCTTGCAGTGAGTTTCTGTCGATAGAACTTCTGGAACCACAGAGCGAATTTACACCAATTATGGGCAGAGCAACGCACGTGGAGTGATTGGCAGAAATAGCAGAAATATCTCCAACACATCGTGCATAAAATATTCCAGCTTGAATATTTAAAAGTACTTTTTCCCGAAAGGTAGGTACATAGCATGACATGAAAAAGCAAGTGAGTTGGAAAAGTTAAATTAATTATCCTCTTTCTCCCCCTTCTTCCCCCCTCCCTCTCTCTCTCTCTCTCTCTCTCTCTCTCTCTCTCTCTCTCTCTCTCTCTTTCTCTGCCTTCTTTGAAATGATCTAAATATCCCGATAACTGTATATAGCTTCATTATACATAAACGAAAATTACAATTGAAATAATGACAGTATATAAAGCCGAAAATATTTAGATATTTATTAATTCGCCATAATATGATTATTGAAATTATTTCACACTTACATTGTCGTTATGTTTGCAAATAATTCTAATAAATTGACTAGTTTGTTGACAATTTAAAAAAATTTCACAATCGCTACAAAATTTTACGCGCGATAAGAATGAAAAAAATAAACCGATGATATATCAAAAGAAGATTTTCATAATATTTAAATTTTTAATATTAAATCTACATAGAAAATTTTTTTATTGGAATGTTAAATTGGATTATGTATACTGTTAACTAAATCTAAATATATTTTAAAGACAAAAGAAAATATCAATTTATAAAAGTATAAAAAAGGAACAGTGCCGTTCAGACTCACTAAAATATAAGTGAGATATTTAAAAGACGACCATCGACGACAAAAATGATTTACGGAGAGGTGGTTATATTCTTCAAGTTTTAACGCTTTCTCTTTGCAGATTTATAACATTGATTTGCACTCGTTATTGAGAGCTCTGAAACACGCAACTTTATACTACATGATCGTAGCAGCTTGTATAAAAATGAGAGAATACACGCAATTAATGCAGCGTCACCGTCACGTAAACGTAGAAAGTTTATTATTAGTAGAAGTTACCCACGGATAATTTATAATCAGTTTATTTTGTATTATCAGTTTATGTTTGATATTAATTATTTCAGAACACAATTTATGTATGATAATTATAAAATAAAAATTGCGAATTATCTAAATTAAATAGAAATTTCTGTTATAAACTTCTAAAAGTGTTGGAAGTTTTTATCCAACAAAAATGTGCTGTAAATTTAAACAGTTTTATTGTGACATTACAATAACATTTTGTGGTAAAGTATATGCAAATCTCTAATATGCATGCACGGCACATCAGTTTTGTAAATTCACAACAAATTTCTATTGTAAATTTATAAATTTGCAAAATCACAGCAAAACGATATTATATGATTTGTAAATTACATTTTTATTGTAAAGGTATTGTAAATTCACAAACATTTCTAACAGTGAAATTCAAACGAGTTTAAAGCAAAAACGGTTGCAAAATAGAAATTTAAATTTTAGATTTTAAATCTTTTCAAAAATTATGCTGAAGAGCTGATGGCTAATAGCTAACGAGGCTGAAGACTAGAAAGCTCAAAAAGAAATAAGTTTACCTGCATGTGAGTTTACATTCGAAATTACGTATTTGGATTGTAAAAAAAATAAGAATTTTCTTGTACCACATGTTACTTAGTAAAACCGCATGAGATAAAATCACTTAAACTTTGTGAACGTTCTTCTAACATTGAATAAATATACCTACATTTATCTCGAAAGAATTAACTTTTCCATAAAAAAAAGCATTTCGTTAAAACATTATTTGAGGTAACGACTATCCACTCTATATAAACTGAACAAATGGCTTTGTGCCAGATCTATTCTAACCGCCGATGAGAAATTAAGACATATCATCGACGATGATACATGCTCTCTCCGCAAAATATGAACCGTGATCGTAAATCATATCTAATGGAACGCCAAGTAACGACATACAAGTAATTAGTGCTTCCCATTACATCAAGGATAAAATAAAACGACAAGAAAGAAAGTGGAATAAAAACAATACGTAAATTTCGTGCAATGAAATTATATCTTTCTTCAATATTTATAACTCGCGAAATAATTCTAATTCCAACTGCAATTCATTATCTCTAAAATTGATAAAATAAACTATATATACAAATATTAGAAATATATCTCATGCAATTTTTCCATATGTATTATTTAGAAGTAAATAGATATTTTTTTTTGTATATTACATTATAGTAAAAAAATATTAATGCGAAAAATATTTATTTTCAAATTTTTGATTTATTTTAGATTAAATTAATTCTGTTTCCAATTCATTCACCGTAATATAAGTAATATAGAATAAAAAAAATCAATAATAAAAGTTTAATAAGTATACGCAATATGCTAATTTTATTAAATTGTTTGGAATTGTCAAGACTACACATGCTGGCAAAGAACTATTTCATTTTAGAACATATTTTATCAAATGTTTTATCAAATAAATTCTAGATGTTCAACATTTGCAGTTTATATATCTAAGAATGCTTATTTGTTAGCCCCTAAAGATATGAGAATGCAAAAAGTGAATGATTAAAACTACAAGAACGGTATATTATATCTTACAGATGCAACGAAAAAATTAATTGGCCGCAGCGCAAAATTCTATCATGCAGTGCAGCTGATAATAATTACGAATCTTTCTTATTTACATCTGTTAGAAAATGGTTTTAAACACAAAGAATTTAATAAACTTTCATTTATTTCGCGACGCGCAGTACCTCACAGTTATTTGCAATGCAAATACTCACAAAGTAATTATCGTTAACTGTCATGACTTAAAATAGAAACATAGCAATAAAATGTTCCATAAAATATAACAAAATTTTTTAAGTATGACAATTTTATAGAATAATGAAAGATTTACAAAAGGTTTCTCATTTTTTTTTTATAATATCACTTATCTTCATCTTAAAATATATCACGACTTATATTTTAAAACTCATCTGTATAAGATATCATGAATATTCTATCTTAATATTTCATTTTGTATATTCATCAACTGATCTTCAAGCAAAAATAATTCAAACATTTAAAAATATTATTTATCACTTTTTATAAATTATACAAAAAATTCTTTTTAATTAGATGTTGTAAGTTTCTTTATCATGTCGCGCTTATAACTTATAATATTTGTCAATTAATTTTTGTCACAGAAACAAAGAAAAATAATAATGGAATTTTTAGAGATATAATATACAGGGTGTCTCACAATCGTACAATACTTTCACAGTGCATTCTAGAGGTAAATAGAGTAAAAATCCTAATATGAAAATGTCGGGGCTACAATTTTTTAAATTATAAGCTAACTTTATATATTTATAAGTCAAAAACTATTTTACTTTTATAGTCTATTATTATTTTTATATTATTATTTCTAAATTCTTTGGAACATTCTAAGACAAAAATCCTAATATAAAAATGTCGAGGCTTATATACATATAATAATTTTTTAATTACAATTTTGATCAATTGTAATTCAAAAACTATTGTAGCCTCGACATTTTCGTATTAGGATTTTTTATTCTATTTTATCTCTAGAATATGCAAAAGTACGGCGATTGTAAGACGTTCTACACATGCTATAAATATAACAACACATAATCTAGAATCGAGGATGATGTAAGTGATTACAGAACGGAAAAATAATAAAATTGCAAAAATTGATACTAGATTTAGTCATGCATCAATCGAAGATCAAACAATATTGAATCGGGAATATTTATTAGCGGACAATATAAAATTATACAGATGGAAATAATTGTAACGAAATCAAAATAAAAAGAAAAACTTTGCACAGCATACATATACATGTATTTTTTCATCATTTCATATTGAAATTTTAAAGCAGTTTCAAGTTTGAAATATCGTTAGTTTTAATTATTTGAAACATCATTATTTTCAATTTAAAAAATATTATACATATAAAATAAATTTAAAAGATTATAATATATGAAGTATAAATTATTTAAATTGTAAAACTTATAGATTTATTTTATCATAATTTATCGAAGTATTTAAAATATATATTATATATAGTATGTATAGTATAATATATCCGTTAGAAATTTATTTGAATTTTAAGTAAAAATTTAATTACTATCTTTAACATTTATATAATTTATATCTTATTCTGAAATGTTCAAGATTACTACAAAGTATTCGACCAATACGACAAGCCAAAGATCAGATATGATCAAATATCAATTTTTATTGAATTTGTATGAAAAGATGCTAAAAAACACAATCTGCAATTAGTTGAAAATTTCCCGGTCATAGAATGTCGATATTATTCATTTAGTTGCAACATAAAAATATCACTATTGATTTTACTGTAATCGCAGTAAAGAATACAGTGTTCATTGGTAGATAGCGATTTCAATTTCCTAATGCACTATAAAAAGCAACGAAGAAGAAATCTCAACGAAGGCAAAAGTGCGATGCTAATCAGCAAGTGCGCGAAAGAACCATCGAGAAAAAGTTTTTAGCTTTCATTAAGCTCTTTCCGATGAATGTTCAGTCGATGTTTTATTAACCTTTATCAGCCATAATAATCGTTGTTTAATAAAAAATGTATTAATTATTGAATATTTACTTGAGGTACACTGTTATACCAACAGAACAATTTTTAACTATTGGTAACTCAATTTTGAATTAAAAATCTTTTCGGTTAAAAATAATATTTTGTTATTTTTAATTTACGTATGTCAAAATATACATAAATCAATTTATTTCTATGATTAATTTCAATGTAAGCAACGTCTATACGTACTTAATAAATAATAAACTAAATTCTTCTTTCAATGCATTTTCTTAAATTACATTGTTTAACTCCATTGTTTCAATTAAATTAATGATATTATATTAATATTAATAAATTAATTATATTAATTATATTAATTATATTAAGTAAAAAATGATTTATAGAAATTATTAAACAAATAATTCAAATTGCGTATATACTTTGACTTATTGAATTTAACGTATTTATGAATTGAATCAAATATATAATTTTGTTTAAAAAGAAGTGTTGTTTGTTTAAGAAGAAGCGCATAATCCTAATATTCGTTTAAAAAATAAATTTCTTTAATCTTGACAATATTTGTAAAAAATTAATCTCAATTTTAAATATGCTAATTTAAATTATATTATCAAAAATCTTCTAATTAAAAAAAAAAATCAAAGAGCTTATGTCTTCGAACTGAATAAAGTTAGAAAAAAATATTCCCAAGATACTCATTAGTCTACAATAGGACGAAAATGTGCTGAACCTTTTCGATTCAGTAAGTTTCGAGGTTTCCAATTTATAGAGACACTCGCAATGAAATGTTTGCCTGGAAGGAGAGCTACGGAACAAATTCTAAGTTGCGGGAAGATAGAATGAACTAGAATCATGAAACTCGATCGAAGATTGACGTTCTATCGATGTATAGTCGTCACCTTTGTCTTTCCTCAAGTTACTCGCACGATCGTTAAACACAGCCCACTTTCCAAATGCTCGTCTATAATATCATCTTAGACAACCTCAGCAATCTCGACAAACACATGAAGATTCCAATTGCAAATTCCCAAAGCCACAGCATTCATGCTCAGGTCATGATATTTTCAACAAACTTACGTGCATAAACAGTGACGTAATCAAATTCACAAAGGTACAAGGAAGGTACAAGCGCTCTGTATATGTCGACACTAACAGCTGTAATTCGTCGTAAGGAGATGTTGAAGTTTTTCACAGGACTGTCTAGCGAGTTACTAGAACTTTTGTTAAATTAGCTTAGTTACTTTAAAGCTATATCCCGAATCAAGATGAAATAAAAACCTGTTTAATGAACAAGTTTCGCGAAAGTAGAAATTTCGTGAACCAAGTAGCAAATGTCATAAGACTTTCGTCAATTAACGATAATTACAGAAAATTGAGACTACACATATATTAAGAGAACATTGAATTCTTCATATATAGAAAATACAATGTCAATTTTTATATTATAATTAAATACTATCATAAATGATTTGAATATTTTAATTCATCGAGAACTCGTATTATCTTTTGGTTGATAGATAAATTGCAAAATAATTTTTCAATATTTTATGATTAATTTTGCTGAAATATTTCATTTAATTATATAATTTTCAATATCTAAATAATAAGCAAATTATACCTTGCTTTGAAACATTACATTTTGCATCTCAATAATCGATTAATAGTGCGACATATGCTCGAAATGCCGATACCAAGTGTCTATTCTCGTTCATATCAATGTCATAATTCTGAGATCGACACTGCGTATACATTATATGATCGCATACATGACATGTCAAATTAGGATCGTCAATTTAGGGAGAAATAATCGAGTTTTAATTTTTATGCTTCTTAAAATTAATAATTCTAATATTTTTCACAAAACATTTATTTATATTCATCTTTATTACTATAAAGTGAAAGCACAAGAATAGAAGCTTTTAAGGTTTATGCATGTGAATCATATCCGAGTCAAATTCTTCTTCTTTATCGATATAATGTCCGAGCGTCTGTATTATGCCAATTTTATACCTCACTTATTCTGATTATTTACAGTAAATGTATATATGTATATACAGTAAATATATGACTTTTCACCGATAACCTTTGACCATGCATATCGCATTTCGTTCTTCCTTTACTTTCCATATTCAATGTAGCTAGCATAGCATGAGTAGAGTAGACCACTGGAATAGTGTTGTTATGCTAGCTACACGCGACGAAGAAACAATTTTAGCAAACTCAGAAACAACATCGTTATATTTTCATTATAAGCACTATTGTTTTCAATTTTATTGAATTGCTTCATGATTTTGAATTATCGTTGTAATAAATTTATTAATTTATTTATTAATTAATGGTAGAAATTTTTAAAATCAATATCACTAATAAAAAAAACACACAGAACATTTAACAGATTTTTTTCTATTTATATTTAAAAATACTAAAAACTTTTAATAATTTTAACAAAGATCAATAAAGTGGTAAATGTATTATTTAATATATAGAATATTATTTAATATTATTTATTAACAAAAAATTCTTTCAAATTATCTCTTAGAAATTCAAAGTTTATCTTGTAAAAAAATATTGATAGAATGTTAAGAGATTACAAAAAATAGCAACATTTATTTTTTAAAAATTCTCAAATATATCAAATAAATTCGCAAAATATAGTCTGACAATAAATACACAGCAAATCATGTTTTTTTAATTCATTAGAGCATTTTAATTAAAATCAAATTTTATTTAATAAATTTAAAATTTAAATATATTGAATCAATTATTACTCGTTGAATAATCATGATTTATACTGAAAAATGTAATTACTATCGGATTTAATCAAAGATATATAAAGGTATGTAAAGGTATATAAAGATATATAAGTAGAAAAGATCAATTTCAAATGAAAATTAAAAAATGTAAGTAAAAAAAATATAGGATTCATACAAATAATGTCAGTGATATATTTCTTTTTAATATTCGCCAATTTTGAAGGCTTAAAAGCTCTGGAGTACTTAATGCTCTCACAGATCAATAAATATCTAGAATTAACTCCGCTTCACTGATACAGAAGAGTTCGAAAAACCGAAAATCCGATTTGCTGCTAACACGTGATACTCCCAGACCATAACAGTGATATTATTGTTCAGCACGCGATCCGCCATGCGTGACCTCGAACTTTACACGTGTTGGTAACTTCAGAATCCAAAAATCTCAAAATTTACCATTAAAGCTCTCTCTCTCTCTCTCTCTCTCTCTCTCTCTCTCTCTTTTTCTCTCTCTCTCTCTCTCTCTCTCTCTCTCATTCTCTTTTTCCATGAAGTCTTAAAATAAATTGATGATTGTAGAAACTTATCAATGAAATTGAAAATAAATTTTTCAATGTTAACAACTGGTTAATTTTAATTTTAGAAAAAACCAACAAAATTATTTTTAGGAATTTAAGTATTTAATAATATTTTTTTTAATATTTCTAATTCCTAAAATGCTTACCTATTAGATGAACAATTTAAATTTGGAACTCCTATCCTTTCTGCACTAAAAAAAAATAAATTTTACAGTATGCTACTACATATATTTTATTTATCTTATATTATGTTAAACTGTATGAGACAATTTATATAATTTCGAAAACACTAGAAAGTTAATACGCTAATTATTAAATTATCTCTTCTGGATATTCTTCAAGTTTAATCATTCGAAAATTTCATCAAAACTTTTACATTCTAACAAGATGTAACATTACATTTTTTTCAAATTTTTACGATTTGTGTTCTTTCTCGTACTTTCTTGCACTTATTGTTTATTTTCAATGTCTATTTTAGGCTCTTAAAAGCCTGAGACAAAGTCTTATTTGCATTACAAACATACCTATTTCAAGATAAATGGGAAGAAAAACTTATTTTCAAATAAAATTGAATTCATCCTCTTTCAGCATTCGTTGATTTAGATATATTATAAAAAAAATCTTAAACAGAAATATAATTAAATTAAATTTTTGTTTTCATACTACACGAGAAACTAGTGATTCAAAATAGGTATTCAAGGTTTCTTTTTCTAAATTATTCAAAATATTTTTATAAAAAATAATTGCATATTCATCAGAGCTTTAAGCTTTGAGCTCACATAATATTCACCAGTGATCAATAAAAACAATTTTCTTG